CGAGTGGGACCTGGCAAAGAGGACTGGATTTCTTGCCTGAATCTGGACGTGGTTGTGGAGAGGTGCAGATAACTGCGATTGATCTGCTTTTCTGCATCTCTGAAGATTCTGGCGCTTAATCCATTCCTCTTTGGGAGTGTGACGTTGCGCTGTGGGCAACTTTAGAGGCGGGATGCAAGCCCGTCGGCTGGGCAGGCAGAACCTCCAGACGGGGTCCCGGCAGCCTCATCGCAAAACAAAAAAATTCAGAAAAGCATTTTAAAATCTGGAAAGAACTGCGTTGTGTAGAATTCCAATTCAAACCACCTTTTTTTTTCCCTTTTCCCTTTCCTCTTTTTTTTTTTTTTTTTTTTTTTTTAAACAGAAAAAAACTCGATGCAGTATAATAGCACTACGAGTCCGGGGACCTCACAATGCAACCCGGGGTGAGGTCCCACTAGCAAAGAGGGTTGGATAAATATCTTGAATCTGGACGTGTTTTAGGCAGAGATGCGGAAAAGCAGTTCAATCTCGACATTCTGCACCTTTCCACAAACAAGTCCAGATTCAGGTGTTCAATCCAATCCTCTTTTCTAGTGGGACCTCGCCCCCGGAGTGCTGACAGCATCAGTCAGTTTAGCTTACAGGCCATTGCCTGCAGAACTCTTTTTTTTTTTTTTTTCCCCTGCAGAGCTCGAGTCTTCTGAGTTCCAATTCCTAATATTGTACTAACCTAGGCTACAAGAGTGGCCCGGGTCCACTTGCCCGGCCGGGTCAAAAAGAAAAAAAAAAAAGAAAAAAAAATGAATTTTTAATTTTTAATTTTAATTTAAATTTGGTAAAGAATTTCGATGTGACCCTGAGACAAAAGTTGTTCAGTTTATTTTTCTGCATAACATAGTTTTTTTCCGGATTTTTTGGATTTTTTTTTTTTTGGCTGGGACCTTCCCTAGTCCTTGCACGGCCGGACCGCCCGGGAAAATAGGGTGACCCGGGCGGCCCGGCTGGTAGCCTAGATACTAACCGTTTTTTTTTTTTTTTTTTTTTTTTTTTTTTTTTNTTTTTTTTTTTTTTTTTTTTTTTTTTTTTGTCTGCAGAGCTCGAGTCTTCTGAGTTCCAATTCCTAATATTATACTAACTTTGAAAAGCCTCGCCAATGGAAAGAGAGATAAACTCTCTCCCAAAACTGAAGCAATCCCCTTTAAACCCCGTCAAGCCCGTTTAAACCCGATTGATGTCCCCCTTTTTCTTCCCCTAAACGGACAACACGTGGCATTGGCCCAGGAAAGCTTCCGCTAATGGATAGAGAGATATAAACCCTGGATTAAAATTCCCTGCTGGCCTCCCTCGTAGCCTTCCGTCTTCACCCCACTAGAATGCCGGACCCGTCATTTTCCCTGCATCTGGTCTGAAAGTTGCCCCAAATGCAGCTATAATGACCGGGCGTTCTATTCGGCTGAAGAGGGTAGGCTGCGCCGCAGGTAATTCAGCATTATGTGCTATTCCTTTCACCCTGTATTTGAACTTGGGTCCGTTTATCAACAGTCACATGGGTTAGCTGACTTTCCAATGTTAGCCAATGTCCCGGGACCAGGTCCCTCTTGCATGTTTTAACAGATGCTGACGTGGTGGACCTTACCGTCTCCGTTAGGACGACTTCATTTTCTTTTTATTTGGTTAAATAAATTGGAGAATTTTTCAATTTAGGGTCTCGTTAGACACTCCTAAAAGAATCCTAAAATTTTTAGGACGAGTCCTAAAGGTTTTTTAGCATTTCGTGCGGCGTCGTTACACGCAGTCCTAAAAATCATCTTTTAGGACTCGTCCTAAAAGGTTCCCTGCGGCCTGTTTTCATACGCGTATACGCAGCCGCGCCGCCGATGTCCGTCCATTCCTCGGCGGTGTCCGTGGTACAGAATGCAGTGGGCCTTGGGCGGGAGTCGACGGATCGGTGAAAAGCGCGGTTCCCCTGAACTTCAAAATTTTGAATTCGTATGCAACTTGTGAGGAGCGTGCGCATGATCGTGTGAGCCGCACGTTCGCCTCCGGCGTGCGTACCGTCCTTTAGAAGCGTGGAGCAGCGGACGTGTGTTCGTCTCCTGTGCCATTGTGTAGCAGCGTTGGCATCTTGGACTCCGGCGTTGTTTGTCTACTACGGCAGGGTTCCGCGGCGGGCGTGTCTGACGCGGCTGTCGAAGGCGTGACGTGGCAAACCGTGCGAGGATTGGCAGAGATGGACAGTCACGGCTGCTCAAACGGTCTACGCGAAGAAGAGATCGACGCCGTGGCGATGGTGGTGACTGCCGTCGTCGTGAACACGATGGGCGACAAGGAGTCCTCGTCGCGCGACATGCTGACGCGGCTCCGACAACGAAGAGCGCTGTTGCAGAGCGTTGCAGAGGCGCTGGATTGCGCGGCGACGTGTGAGGCAGTCGTCCAGTTGTGTGTCGCGCTGACGTCTGGCGTTTTCCCGCGGCAGACTCCGCGATGGTGGATTAAACGACGGACTGGCGGGACATGGGAGGACCTTCGGCTTCGGGACTACGCGACGGACGAGTACTTCCGGCCGAAGCTGCGCATGTCGACGGCCATGTTCAACCACACCGTAGTCGCGTGCGCCACGTACATGGAGAAGAAGGTGACGCACTATCCAATGCCATTGCCAGTGGAGCAGCTGATTGCTTTCACGTTATACAGGTGGACGTCCGAAGAGACGTACGAGAGTGGCACGTCAGCATTTGGCATCGGCAGGGCAACTGGACTGCAGGCCGTGCGCGACGTCACTTCGGCGCTGCTGCAGGCGTACCCCGACGCGATAAAGTGGCCAATGGGCAGGAGACGTGCGCAGATTCTGTGCGCTTTCCGTGAGAAGGGTTCCCCAAACTGCTTCGGCGCTATCGACTGTACACACATCTACATTGACAAGCCCGCCGGCGCACCTTCCGAGAACTACTACGACCGCAAACAGAAGTTCTCCGTGCAGGCGCAAGTGGTAGTGGATTTGGATTTGTGGATCCTCGATGTCCACGTGGGATACCCTGGAAGTGTGCACAACGTCCGTGTCCTGCACAATTCCCAGTTGTTTAGACGTGCAGAAATTGGCGAGCTGTTCGACGCAACTCCGGAGAATCTGCCGCACGGTGTCGTCACGCGAGGCTACCTGCTGGGCGACGACGGTTATCTAGTTGCCTGTCCGTGGATTGTGTCGCCGTACGGAGGAATCGACCAAGGTGCTGACGAGAAGCGCTTCGACACGCGGCAAAAGGTGGCACGGGGGTGTGTGGAGAGGGCATTCGGCCGACTCAAGTGCATGTGGCGTCTGTTCTTGCGCACCCATAAGACGAGCCTAGAGACCTTGCCACAGCAATTCGTCGCTGTCTGCACTCTCCACAATATCCTCCTGGACGCGGGGATTGACTTCGACGAGAACCTTCTGTGGGAGGTGGATGCGAACGGCGTTCGACGTAGAGTGGACTTGGGCATTGTGGGGAACGGCGCACGCGGGCGAGGACGGTGCACAAACGTGGAAGGTGAATTGTTGAGGGATGCACTGCGAGACCGCCAAGCTTTGATGTAGGACCGTGCGGTAGGGAGGTGGTGCACACGGGGTGGTCGATCGGTAGGCGGCTGGAGTTATTACGTGGTCCATGTCCATGGTCGTCGTGCGCGTGGTTGGTTGGTCGATGGAACGACGGCATGATTGTCGTCGTTCCATCATAGTATCGTTTTCATGCTGTTGATGGCTACCTTGTTCGCACAATTGTGCGAAGTTTGATGATTGGAAGAACCTTTTTTTTTGCCAGTGTGTGTCCTCGTCGTTAGGACTTATTGTTTTTTATATATTTTCCCTGTCTTCAAATTGTTTGTGATGAACGGTGTCGTGCGATGGGAAACATGGTTGTTGTTGTTGTTTATATATATATATATATATATATATATATATATATATATATATATATATATATTATATATCGTCACAAACAGAAGTGCCCGGTAAAACCGTAGGCAGAGAGAGAGAAGAGGACAACAAACGAGGGGCTGTGACATATATTTTTGCTATCCATCTGTGGAAATGTTGTTTATCTTTATCGTTTTTTGGTGCATATCTTCATTTCAGTTTCCATGACCGGTTTCGTGTGCTGTTGTGGTGGGATGACATGTGCAACATGCTTCTGTACGATCCCGTCATGCATTCTCTCAATCCGTGATCAACGCATGTCTATTGCATGTCGTGAAGCCAATACGAAGAACAAGAACAAGTGCAATGCAGACAAGGACACTGCATGACACGCACGACATTTGTGTCCCACAAAAGACATGATGACATTCATGACACCGACATATGACAGAGTCGTGAGAGTTGTCACACGCATCGCAAAAAGGAAAACAAGAATTAACCGCCACGCGCTTCAAATCGTCCGAGACAACGAGGAACACCATGCATTGATAAAACAACCACGTGCGCTTAACACACAAAAAAAAGAAAAAAAAAAAAAAAAAGAAAAAAAACGAAAAACAAAGGTGCAAACCATTCATCCCGTGCTGGCGCTACTGGCCGCACACTAAACACCTACGCCACCGTCGATGATTCAGCCGAATCCCTCCGGCCAACACGCTAACCACCGAAACTACAATTACACAATCGAACTGAATCTACCCGTGCTTATGCCACGGGCGCCAGAGTAAACCTGTGCACAATGATGAAGGAGGACTCTGGCGAATCCCGGCGGTCGACACGCTAATCAGGTGCGCCACGCACGACACTCCAATCACACGATAACCCGTCACGTCTCGCTACGCGTACATGCGCCCATTTGCACCGCCGCGCGGAACGAATGCGCGATGCTGATGACGGTGGACTCCTGGTACGCAGCCATGTCGTCGTCCTCAAGTCTGTCCTCGATATTCGCGCCGGCATACCATAGTGGAAGGTCCATGTTAAGATCTATCGTGTGGGCGCAGATCGGCGCGCTGACGACGTTGTGCCACTCCTCGCCGTACCACATTGCACGCGCAATGTCCGTCACTACGGACTCCAACGAGTACTGGAAAGCAAGGTGGTACCCCCTTGGGCGGTTCCCGGACTTGAAAACCTAGCCGTGCAAGATGCGCAGAACTATATTCTCCACCGCCGCTGCACAGGAGATCGCTTGCTGGAGTTGTGATTGGTCTGCGATCCTCGCCACCCTCGTGCTGGATTTGGGGACGAAAACGCTCCGCGGAAGTTCAAGTGGCGGAAGCCCGCTGGCGAAGGCGATGAAGTACTCTTTGGTTTCGTGGACGATGTTGTAAAGTCTGCGTCCTTCACCTGTCGTCCAGAAACATTTGTCATCCACCCAAAGAAGTGCACGGTCGATAAGGTCTTTCGTCATGACTCCCCTGCGTGCCCGGCTTGAAGCGGCCTCGCCGCCATCCCGTTGGTTCGTGTTCTGTCCACGACCCTCCTCTCTCACCGTCGCCGGAACTGCAGCCTCCTCTCTCGCCGCCGGAACGGGAGGGACAACACCTGCAACAGCCACACCCGCGCCACCTGCCGCCTCGCCCCCTGCTGCACGCGCGTCTGCCACGACTCCCCCACCACCACCTCGTTGGCGAGACGCACCGTCACCACCGTCGTTGCGCTGACGCGGCTGAGACGACGTGCAGGGCAGTGCACCTGTGATCGGCCTTTCGTCCTCCGCAACGCGAGCCGTCGACACCGCCGCTGTGGTCGCTTGTGTCGCACTGCGCAGGCGACGTTTTTCCAAAGGCTTGTCGTCTTCGCCGCCAAGGTCCACCACAACACCCTTCTCTTTCCACGTTTCGCGGACACGCAGCTGCTGCGCCTCCGGCGGAGGGGTTGACATCCTCTTTGAAGCGCTCTGATCCGCAGTACGCTGCCTGGCACTCTCCCGTCCTGCAGACGCCGTCGCCTCGCCCTGATCGTCCTCCATCATGAAATCATCGTCGTTGTCCTCTTCTGCGGGCTGCGCCCAACCTCGCGCACCACGACGAGGCACGCTTGCTTACGCATCATCCAAACGTAGCCTCTTCGCCTTCGGGACGTGCCGCCGACCTTTCCCCTGGGCTTGGGTTTCGTCAAGCGCGACGTCGCGCTTCTTGCCATGGGCGTTTAATCGCGCAGACATGCTCGCTGGGGACCCCCACAAGCGATCTCGATGTAGCGCTCGGATGACGTGTGCTGTTTCGTCGAAAACGATGTCACCCGTCTCTTGCCAGCCTGGCCAGACAGGCTATCCCGACGACGCTGAAGATGTGTCCTTCGCTGCAGGGTGACGACGACGCGCAAGCGCACCACGAAAGGATGATGTCCTCGGCGACACCTGTCCTTCGCGATGGCGGGAGTGCTCCACGACGATAAGACTGACTGCCAGAAGAGCGGAAGCGATGACGGTGAGAAGCGTTGTGGCACTGCAGATGCTCGGCGGGAAGTGTGCAGCTGGCCCGGCGAGAAGCGTTGTGGCACTGCAGATGCGCGGCGGGAACCTTGTAGCGCGCCCGGCGAGAAGCGTTGTGGCACTGCAGATGCGCGGCGGG